CCCCCCCCCCGTCTAAAGGGCCCCCCCCCCCCCATGACGCCTCCCCCCTGGTGGTTCGAGGCAACCCCCCTCAACTATGACGGCACTCCCCGTGAACAAGGCCACCCCACCTTCGTTGTGGGCACTCCCTCCTCTCCTTACGGGCGCCTCTTGGCGCTGTGTTTGGACGATGCAGTGCTCTCGCTAGCGAATGATGTAGTACACTATTTCCTGGACAGATACACTTTACGTATTCCTTGGTCATATACACAGTATTTGTTGATCAGATACGCTAAACACTGTATTCCCTGAGCAGATTCACTGTATTTCCTCATCAGATTCACTGCATTCCCTCATGAGATTAACTGTATTCCCTAGTCAGGGTCACTGTATTCCCTTACCAGATACCACCGTATTCCTTGTACTTTCCACAGTATTTCTTCATCAGATTCACTGTATTCGCTGGTTGGATACGTTGTACTCCGTGGAATGCAGTGAACCAGACGAGGAAATACAGTGAACTGAACGAGGGAATACAGTGTATCCGATGAAGGAATACTACAGTGAATCGAACGAGGGAATACAGGAAATCTGCTCAGGGAATACATCGTAGCTGATCCGGCGGCAGCAGCAGCGGGCGGCGGTGGAACGGCGGATGTCGATGACGCGGGCGGCCTCGGGAGCGGCGGAGCGGTAGCACCAGGCGAAGGCGGGGCCACAACGCGGGCCCCGGAGGCGGCGGCGACGGCGACCGTCCGGCGGCGGTAGCAGCAGGCGGCGACGAAGCGACGATCTCGAAGGGTAGATTCTGGGGCGTGGGTAGAGCCCCCGCGGAGGGGGTTGATGAAGCATTGCACCCCCCCCCCTCCCCGACGGCGGGAGCGCCGCCCACGCTACATTGGAGGTGTAGCACACGTGGGCGGTCCCCTCCTTGAGCACCTTAACCGTGACGTCGGCGTGGTTGTCCCCGGCGTTGAGGAAAAAACACGGCCCCGACCGGGCCACTCATCTCGCCAAAAAATAGATATATATTACTAGCTTCTTGACTTCGCCTCCCTAGAGACCTTCTTACACACTGAGGAGGGCGCCCGCAGGGGGTGACCCGAGTGCAGATGGCTCTCCGGTCCATGTATGGTACCGCATGGTGAACCATAGGAGGAATGATGGAGATAATAGCGACAGCAAGAAGAGCATTCTACTGTTAGTTGTGGACTGTTGACACAAAAACATTGCCAGCTCACTTACCTACAGTACACCTCGAGCACAATACAATTGTATAACATCCACATTCCGTAATGTGAAAACTGAAGACGCGGACACTGGGTGAGTAAACAGACACGGGACTTGCCGAGAAACCTGAACTATAAGAGACGTGTGCGAGCCTCGACGCCATTTTCGAAAAAGATATGCTTCACATATATATATATATAACGCCCCGAGCGGACAGCGGCCGCAACACATATAATTACACCGGAGGAACAACAACCAGAATATTACGCAAAAAGTGGGCAGCGAACGGACGATAATTCTACGTTGTAGGCGGCTACATAGCGAAGACGAACGGACGATAATTCTACGTTGTAGGCGGCTACATAGCAAAGGTTATGGTGTCCCTTTCCTTCCTGGCACGGAACAACAACAGAAGAACTGCAAACCGCACCCCGAGAGCCTCCTGGACTCTTGCTACACAACATACCTTCATCTACAATACATGGTGAAAGTCAAACAATGTAACTGTCTTGGATCTTGAACAGCCGGGTTCGACGTTCCAAATACTCCTAACATCAAGTGTCGACGGTCTTCACAAGAGGATTAATCACAGACACATGATAACAGCGACGCACTACTGTACGTTTGGATGTGTCTATGCTAGTCACTTTCCGTTGTTGTGCACTGCTGACAGTGCTGGTACCATTCAAGCACTGCCGCACTGCGACTTGCTCTGATGTATTCTGCACGTTAGACTTTTCAAGTACACGTGTTGAGAGCACGTGACGCACCAGAGGGGCTAAGCGCCCCCTCGCCGTTTCTCTTGCTAGATAGCCACCCAGGTAGAGGGTACAACGTCGCCTTGTTTCTATTGCCAAGCAACCACCCAGGTGTTGAAGTCTTGCCATTTCTGAAAAGACGGCCCGGCGTGTTGGTGAGAGTCGTCGCAGAACAAGGGAGAATGAACCAAAGGGGGGGG